TAGGGAAAAATTCATGCCATAAATGAAACAGTTATTTAAAAAAACATGCTAAATGTACTCAAAGTATTTAAATTGGTTCAGTGCTCACAAGTGATGGAAGGAGTGGATAGACACTGACAAGAAGTTTGTAACATTCATGAAACTCTTAAAGATTTCTATAAAAGGGAAACAAAGTTAGTGATGTGCAGGATATTATATCATGTTGCACTGTATGGTATAGAGACTTGAGGACTTAGATGATTATAAACTGCCGATTAGCTTTCTAAGTGCAATTGTTAGAAAATTAACAAAACACCAAGTGAGGAATGACTGCCTGAATCAGGGGAACTGGAAGATGCACGTAGAAAGAGATAAGTTGATGTGATTTGGGCACATGAAAAGAATTTCTGAGTACATAATACCCCCAAAATGTTGAGAATGCAGGTTGAGAATGCAGTTCCCTACAAACAGCTCAGAGAAGACCAAATAAAGATATAAAGATGATGTACATTATTACAAGAGGTGAGTACCTCAAAGGAAATTATAGCAAAAAGAAGATGAAAAAAAAAAAGATGAATGGAGTCAGAATCTTTCCCAACCCAACAAGATGCTGAAATCAACAACTGATGATGATGATGATGATGAACTTGATTAAACTGCTTCACCTAATCTTTTTACTCTGTACAGCTATACCTAGCACAGTGAACATAGTGGCTGGATCCAGAAGAGTGGGGACCTGAGGTATGTGGTGTGCCACACACTGCACATTCAGGTGTTTCCCATGCTGCTACCTTGCAGGGTGGAGTGGGGTTGGCCCTGGGAAATCCTGGGGTAAAAAAGACCCATGAGGAAAAGAAGCAGGGCAGTGCATGTGGCTGCAGCACGCACCACCGAAAACCGGAGCCTGGCCTCAAGAACTACGTTTTGTGACTACTGGCCAGGCTCCAAGCTGCAGGAGCACCATGGCTGCAGCTTCCCCAGCCCCCAGGACCCCAGGTAAGGCTTCTGGGGACAGCACAGTTGCTGACTCCAGCCTCCCTTACCTCACCCAGGATAACCTGCTGTGCACCGGATAGTGCATGGCATGGGTGTTCCCCAGTGACAAGTAGCAGAGGTACAAGGTGTGCTGCTGCTTTTTGTCCCCAGGAAATAAAAGATCAATGCTCAGTTGGATGCGACAAGTGAGAGCAATTACAGATGATTCAGTGTTTACTGATTGCCAGAATACCAAGTTTAAACTCTTCATCATTTTCAGGTTTTCAAAAGCTTGAGCTTTGCTGAACACGACATTCTGGAAGCACAGCAGTGAGCAATGTTAATTCTATGTTAACATTTAAAAAAATGTTTTTGGTCACAAAATTCACATATAGTATAGAAAGGGCTGTATATTATATTATATTATATTATATTATATATTTTGTGATTATAATGATTTTGGTAATAGGAATGTTAATGCTATGGCTTTTCCAACCATTAAATAAGCAGCACAAGTGTTTAAACAGGACTATACTGCAAAAAACAAAATAAATAGAAACAGACCAAAACACTGGAGGTCATTTTGTGTTCAACTACTATTTGCAGCAGGTTGTTCTAAATGGTATTAGATTCTAATAAATAATTAGAATTGGGTTTCTCTTTCTAGTACCAAATAAACTTAATATTATTAAAGCTCTCTTATACTTCTAATAGGTTACAAAAATATTTAATATCTTTAACCAGAGTATCTGAACATGCTACACAAAGGTAGTGAATCATTGTTTTTATTTGATGCATATGGAAACAAAGATATAGAGAATAAAAATGATTTCTAGAAAAACTGAAACTGAAGCAAGGTCATGAAAATCTCCAAATCACTGTCCTTTCCACCTCTATTCTAACCATTAAATTGCACTGCCTTCCTAATAATGCTGTTATTGAAGC